CACATTTCCTACCTTAATTCATTCACTGACTTTTTTAGCCTTGCGCTGTCTCTTAGTTTCTAAGTTAATTGGTAAATGAATGTGATATTGCTATTTAATTTTAATGTCACCAATTTATAGTATGATATTTCTACCTACAGTTCCCTAATTTATAGTTAGAAAAAATGAATCAAGTAATTTTAGTTTTTATTGTAGAAACTATTTTAAAGTTGAAATAGTGAGATAGTCTAATTTAGAAGTCTAATAGATCTCCTCTGGGGTAGTTTGCTGGATACTTTGGGAAACCTTTAGGGTAAAGTGAGGCCTGGTGCTCCCATGTCCCATTTTCAATTTCAGACATTCTAGGCAGACAACAGAAAATTATATTAGCACATTTGCCTTTTTTCTCACATAGTTCATGATTGATTACTTTAATCTTTTGTACTAAGAAAGAACAAACAGACGGATTGACATTTATCTGTGCTTTTAAAAGCCATGAGCAATTCTTCCTTGGCTAGCAATTGTAATGTCACTGTGGCTTAAATTATAAGTCTCATTGCCCATTTTGAAATGGAAGGTGAAAGGTGCCTCTTCACTTTCAAATGATTACTTGAGTCTCACAAAAAAATATTTGGACTTGGATGAAATTTTACAGAATAATATAGTTCTAAAGTGTTTAATTCCTTCTCATAGAAATTTCAAGGGAACTCAGGATGCATTTGGCAGGAGCTTTTTCTAATGCAATCAGGTTGCTATGGTAAACCTATTATTTTAGTCAAAGGAGAACTGTGTTAGTAAAGTGCTAATCTCTTTTCTGTTTTATGTGAGACTCTAATTACTCTCCAACTATTGAGCATGTACTGCAAGTATGGTTTTTACTGTTTTAAAAAGTGAAAGAAAATAAGGTCATAAGGAGTGTGCCTGCTGTTAGCATGCTGTCAGGTACATTTGATGATATAGTGCTCTTCTTAAACAAGCTTATTTTGGATCATTTCTCTAAAAACAGTTGTTTTATAGAGAAATGCAATGAGAAATGAGATATATGAACTTTATGTGAGCAATTGAAATCCAAATCTCCCAACATGTTTTTATTATAAAAATATAAAGAATATCTATTATTTATTAAATAATACTAAGTGTCAGGCTCTGTCCTATGTACCTTATATGCATTACAATAGTTAGCCTTTACAATAATCTCATGTTAACATTATTATTATATTCCCATTATGCAACCATGATAAATGAGGTTTAATTTATTCTTCCAAGGGAACACATTTAACAGTGGATGGGCCAAGATTAAAACCCATATTTATTTCAAATCAGAGCCCATGCTTCTAGTTGTATCTCTGCCGTAAAATGTATTTCCCTTCTTCTTTGTCTACTGACAAATAAAAACACTTTAAGACTTACTCCCAAGTCACCTTTGCCAGGGAACTTCTCAAATCCTACAAGGTCTGTGTGCTCATGTATTTTACCTTTATTCCCTCTAGTATTAAAAAAATTTTAATGTCCTACTTAATTTTGTATTTTCAGCACCTAGCACAATACTTGACCCATAGTTGATATTCAGAGAGGAGATTAGATTTGAGCTGGCTGAGTAGCACTGGGTAGAATTTTGGAGAGAAAGTGGGAGTGCAGAACAAAGACAAGTGGAGCACATGAACAAAATTCTCTAAACATTGGATACATACTTGGAAAGGAGAGTTGGACCAAATGTGGAGAGAGCTTTGTTGAGAAAATTGACTTCTGTCTTGAAGATCGAGTAGGACCAGCATGAGAGAGGAAATTACATAATCATAGGTATATTTTTGAAAAGTGGATTTTTTAAAACTTTAAATTGAAAGGAGAATAGTTAATAAAAGGAAGAAATCAAATATGTCATCAAGTTTTTTAAGTCTCACTGACAGATTAGATGATGGTGACCTTCTCCTAGATAAAAGGACTGGGAAGAGGAGTAGGTTTGTGAATAAAGATGATAAATTGCCGTCAGACATATTCCGTTGACATAACTGTGGGAAACACAAGTGAAGGTATTCAGGCAATTGGAAATGCTTATGTACTGGGGAGAGACATCCTATTCTAAATTCAAGTTCTACAATTAAAGCTCATGGGTTGTGTAATTTTACAAACTATTTGCAGGCGATTATTGTTTTGTGCCTTCATAAATAATATTAATTCAGACATTATGAGGACACATGAGAAGTACAGTTATTGGTGCTGTATTTGTAAAGGTGCATGAGTAGGAAGGTACAGTTGTCATGAATCTGGTGAAATTTACTTTGGATCTTGAAGAATGAGTGGAAATTTACCAGGCAGGTATATATATCTTGGTAATGACTGGACTGAAGATGTGAACTGAAATAGCAAAATAAAATGCACTTTAAACTGTGGTGTGTATGAAGAATTTACTCTTCTTTATCTTTCTATCTGCAATAAATTACCCTTTCTTTATATACGGTTTTTTGCTTTTCCATTAGAAGCTACCATATCCTATAAACTACATTACAGTTACATCTATAAAGTTAATTCAGCTATTAGTTGCCTTCATGTGTCTTTTTAAAACTCCAACAAAAATAAGAATTGCAAAATGAATTTTTACATCGAAAGAGACATATGAATTACAATTTATCAGGAAAAACAATGTACCTAGGACTGAATATTAACACTACTTAACTTGATAGAAGAAATACAAAGCAAAAACTATTCATTGTAAAAACAATGAAATGTAGATAGTTGAACACATATGCCAATATTTGGTTCATCCTTTCCAGAGAAGCAGAGAAACCAGTAATACATATCAGGAAACTTCCTGTTTGCCTCAAAACATTAATAAAACTGTCACCATAAATATTCCCTCAAACTTAAAGATTGAAGTTGTCTTGGTAACTGGGACTGTATTACCTGTCAGGAGTAAGGTTATTCATGTTTCTGACATCTGTCCATGAAGAACTAGTTAACTGTATCCGACCATCCTGATGATGATCCTATAGTTTGTTTCCTTGTCTCTACAGTCTGGATTATTATTGTCATTCACACATCCACCCACGGTGAGGGCTAGCATGTTTATGCACATCAGAAAGTAACTGGGGCTCAGAAGATCTGGGTTCCAGCACCAACACTGTTGATGTCTACTTCACTGGCCTAAGGCAAACTAATTAGTCTCAGCATGTTTGAATTTCCTCATCTATTAAATAAATTGCAGTAAGTCATGGATCTTCCTGACATTTCACAAAAAAATAAGTGTATGCTGCTATATTTTTCTAGGGAGAGATCTGGGGTCTACTAGTGAGAGGTCTTGATAGCAAACAACGGAAACCAACTTTATGAACTGGAATGAAAAAGGATTTTATTAGAAGGGGTTAGGCTCAGAATGCAATCTTGGACAATCAGCTCAAGTAGCACTCCAGGGAAGCAAGCCACTGCCAAGATCTAGCCCCTGCTGCCACCACTTTTGAACTCCAGCCACTGTGTGCCAAGCTCCACAGCTCCTGGACACTCACTACTGTGCTGTTGCACAGACCCTGTGCCCTTGCAGTCACCCTCAAAAACCAAAGCCCTGCCAAGAGTACCTGGTGTGTCCCTGTTCTGTCCACCAGGACATAAGAAGAGGGAATGTCACTGGAAGCGGAAAAGGGCTCTGTCTTCTGCTGAACTTGGGCCTGCCTCCAAGTAGAAAAACAGACTGGTTGAAGGGCAGCCAGAACAAGAGTATCTATTGCCATGTCTTTCACTAGCTTCTCAAAGGGATCATGACCCCAACACTTCTGCCAGAAAAGATTATGAATCACTGCATTGGATTATCTTTAATTACAGCTCTTAAATTATATGATTCTAAATACTAATTTTCCTTTCTTCCATCATCTCCCAACTCAGAATTGCTTTAACAAGATACAAATGCAGCAACAGAATGACTGACAACATTGTGGGGTCAGCCCTGAAGTGTCTCATGATCATTTCAGTGGGTGTGTAATTATGATGGTTGGCTAATGACAGAGAGTAGCAGATGTCTCAGAGTGGTTACCCAGCTGAAATTTTGCCAAACCAGTACAAACTCCTTAAGCAAAAGGAATTTACTTTCTCATTCAGTCTTCTGGTGCTGTGTTATGAGTATATTAAGGTGCAATATGGCTCAATGGTTAAGTGTTTATGCTTTAAGATTAATGAGAATGGATATAAATTTTGAATCTAGCCCTTACAAGCTGGGCCACCATGGAAAGTAACTTGGCCTCAATATGTCTCCGTATACTGTTTAGTAAAATGATAGTGGCCATGCCAGTCAATGTGTGGTATTATGAAAACAAAAGAGATGGAATTTAAGGAATTAAAATGTTCGACACATATTTACAGCTCAAGAAATGATGGTGGAAGTCATAATGACAATAGTTAAGGAGTACTCAAACCACGAACCAAACTCATTACAAAAAAATTGTTCATACTTTTAATTTTTAAGTCAAGAATGATAACGATATTTAGGTCATGTGCTTTGACACATTCTCCATGTTAAAATGTGTTTTATGAACTATAAAATTGATGCCAAATAATCACTAAAATGTCATGTTGCAGTGTACCAATGAACATTTTTTTCTTTATGTAGTGGATACATCCAAAAATTGTGGTCAATTTTTTAAAATGATCCCATTAGGCTAAATTTGTCAAAATATGTAAAATTGATTCTGCTACATTAAATGTTATCATCAAGCTAAGTTGAATATGAAATATCCAGAGAGTTTAGCAGCTAAATTCGTCTTCAAAAATGAATGAAACAAAAGGTGGAAAGTAGTAAAGGTGAATGACTTCTGAGCCAGCAATTGGCACTTTCACTCCCTACCACCTTGGTTGGCATTTGTGTTTGACCTTCAGCTTACCGCAGGGAGGTAAGAAAAGTTATTTGCTGAACTAGAGTCATGCACAGCCTGGAACTGGTCTGAGAGGTCTGAGTTTAATAGTGTGCTGTTTCCTTTGAAAGCCTTCTTAGTTCTGTGAATCTCTAATTAAAGTGCTCTCTCCTTTGTATTTTGCAGGTAAATGTGAATGTGGCAAATGTACCTGCTACCCGCCGGGAGACCACAGGGTGTATGGGAAGACGTGCGAGTGTGATGATCGCCGCTGTGAAGACCTGGACGGTGTGGTCTGTGGAGGTGATCAATTTAACTGCCTTCTGCTACTGCATGCAGCTTGCTTCAGCTGCCTTCCTTATTCTACTTGTCCTTTTTTTAAAAAAAAATTGTTAAAAAGAAGACTCTTGATTTAGGGACATGTGAAAGTACACAGTACACTATTGATAAAAGATTGCTAAGACTAACCTAAATTCTATGGAGATAGTAAAAGGCTTAGCTGCCACTGAACACTTTACAATGATTTTTATTACTCTACTCTTAAAGACTGGGGGAAGTATCACTTACAAACTTGAGACAAAAGCAGTAAGATAACTCCCTAAGTTTAGTTACAACATCACAGGAGATGTGCAGTATCTCAGTTCCCATGATGGCGCTGAGAACCAAATAAAAGCTTACTGAAAGCAAGAATCTGTGTAAAGAAAGAACAAGGCAGAAAGGAGGTGGTCAGCAGAGTTAACAGCACAACTGAGAGTCCCAGAGTTAGAAGATTGACAGTGTCTACCTGGTCTTCATTCAGAGGAGGTGGGAGTCAACATTGTTCTTGTAGTTCAGCCTTGCAAAATCTCATGCTGTAGAGATGACACATGCTGATGACAGCTCCTTCCAGGTTTCCAGTACAACTGAGGTGACTGGATGTGGGATCAGACTGAAAGAATATAGCTGGATCTCTTCAAGATAATTATCATAATGCATTTGGGCACTTCATTAGAAAAAAATAAATTGCAGGTACAATGTATGAAAGGCAGGGACACTATCACTACCATGTATATCTGTATATTCTCTAACCAACCATGGAACACTTGCAAGTTGACCAAAAATTTCTTCTTTCTTTCCTTTGTGAGAGAAGGCAAAGGCCCTCTCTAACACCAGGTGGCTTATTTTACGCAGCCCCTGCAGCAGCAGGCTCCTTAACTAATTTTCCTAATTTCTTCATCTTACACATGGGAAAGTGAGTGAGGTTTGAGGTGTTGATGTCCCATAACTAAAAAGTGGTAGACCCAGCACTTGGGCACTGACATCCAGTTCACAGATCTTTCCCTATATCACGGTTTTCCCCAGAGTGACATTAAACTGTTTGGACCTTATCTCAACATTACTCTTAGTTTAGATTGTCCCTGTACTGGTATTAGTTACCAGAAGTATCTAAGCAGAATGCAGTCTTTTTGTTAAGTCCCTTATGTGTATTGACCCATTTAATTCTCACAATGTGGTACAGCAAGCCTGACTGGCACCTGGCGAACGCCTTATACACGTCTTTGCTCTTATTATCATTGTCATTTTCTCTGTCATGTTGTGTCTACCTCATGAGGGTCTCCTTGCCCAAATGCTTTGGTGACTTGGTTGAAACAGTTGATAGTGGAAAAATCTGTTACATCTACATACCTTTTACACGTGCCATGCTTTCAGCTTCCATGAGTGCCATGACTCTGCCAACAGGCATGTCCCTTGCAGGGTTTCTGGAAGCTATGCTAAGGAATTGTTAGGAAAGGTTTTGGCTCCTGTGGAGCATGAGGTGTCTTCTAAACCAGAGAAGCCTCAACATCTGTGTAGCATGGGTCTCATCTTTGTGCGCCTGAGCTGTGTTCCCTGAAGAGAAGGTAATCTCCAGACCACCATGTGGAGCTGTTATCCTTATGCATTGCTGCAAAGACTCCCATGGAGAGGAAAGCCCAATACTGTCCCGCCGCTAGGATATGATTCCTGTCCCATATCCTTCTAAGGAGACTAGTGCCATGTGTCTCTCTAAAACTTAGCTGCACCTAAGAAAAGTTGCCCCCCTTTCCTGCTCTGGGGCAGTACAAGCGGCATTAGTAGAAATTCATGATTGAGTGATGTGAATCAGGGGGAGGGTACAATCAAGGATGAGTTCTGATAGTTTCAGCAACTGAATGGGTGGAGGAGACTGTGTTTTTTTTGGATTAATTGTCTCTATCTATTGAAAAAAAATGAGTTTTTTTCACAGAGGGCAATAGAAGTAGAGAAACTTAAATGGATTATGATTTTGTCCCTTTTACCTAACATTCTATTCTTTATCTTTGCTTCTTCTGAATTGCTCTTTATCATTTTCCCATTCTTCCAAATCATCTCTTTTAGAAAGTCTTTTTGAAATTATTTAATACTTCCTCAGTACTGCAATAGCTTCATTAAAACACCATCACATTTTATTCTCTTTTCTCCAAGTCTATACAATTCTCATGACTATAATAAAACTTTTTTCCCCTCTGAAAAATTATAGTAGCCTCAAACTTATGATAAAGGTTGATGCCTAAGGACTTTTTGAATAAATTATAAATTAAGGGAGTCACAAATAAGTTAAGGAGTGGGGGGATGCATGCAATGTTGATCCTAGTTTGGGATCAGAAAATTCTTCAAGTTGGAGTTAACATTTGATCTGGGTCTTGAATAGCAAACATTTAGAGGTGCGAATATTGGATGTGAACATTTTAGGCCTGGGGAAGCTAAGCAAAGACACAGAGGTAAAAAATATTTGATATGCTGAAGGAATATATTTATTTCATTCTCCTACATAAGAGTTTTTTCTCAGCTGCTTTTGAATACATCCTTGGGAAGGATTTTTTTTTTCTCAAACTGTTTACTTATTTATTATTTATAACATTATTTCACCTCCATTTATTTTACTTTGTTCATCTTTAAGTATCATGATATCATAAAAATATTTTTATATTAATGTTTTTCTTTTCAACACTTAATAAAACTAAAATAATATAAAAACAAAATAAAAATCACGTATAAATCCACCATCCAAAAATAATATCTGGTGAAATTTTGTTTAATTTCCTTCTAGTTTTGTTTTTTTATATCTTTGAATCTAGATTTTTGAATCTTTGGGTGTTTTGATATTTTGTGTGGAGAAAGCTCACATCCTATGGTATTTTCAGTTGCTTCAGTTTCTCTGTGTGTACACTCTGCTACGTTTTTTTCACATGAGATTTCATTGAGAAGTAACCATTTCCTTTTAAGCAACGTGAGACAATGCCCAGCAGCAAAATGAATGTGAACCTCATATTCAGAAAGAACAGCATTTGAATTTTGGCTCTATTGCCTACTAGTCTTCATAATTTGGATGGACCATTTGTTCTCTCTGCCTTGGTTTTCTCATGTGTACAATAAGGGTAATAATGCCCACCTGCTCGCTTTATGGTGAGAATGAGACATAAAGTATGAAAAGTGCCTGGTACTATGTGATAAGTGGGCAGTCAATGAGTGTCCAATGTATGTAATGCAAAGTAAAAGATTGAAGCATCCATCTCCATAACAGGACAGAACAATCCATCTCTCTAAGATATCTTGAGGCACCAGTTACAAAGCATTTTGGAAGGAAATTGGCATCCTACAAATCGACATTTCAGTGTCAGGGAAGGAATGGCAACTAGTTTGTTCAAAGCCTTTAATTTCCCATCACGTGGCAGTCACATAAATCTTACTACTAGGAGGGTGTGAAACTCACAGACATCATCCCTCTGGTGTGGCTTCAGAGGAAAACAAAACTGAGAATCACTAATGTGGGTAATTTTCTCAGTTCACTACCAGACACTGAGCCATCATTTCTGTAGCCTTTCACCAGGAGGGATGAAATAGGACCCTGTGTATCCCTTGTGTGTTCAGAGCAAAATGCAGGTCCCTGACTCCAAAGCAGCATTTCAGTAAACAACAAATAGTAAAACCAAAAACATCTGTAAACCTACCTAATCGGCAGGTACAGGAGAACTGATAGCCAATGCTGTTTATCCACCTTCCTAACAATAACACTGAAGATGATTAAACCAGTTCTGGCAGGCTGGGATAAATTAGCAATTGTACCTGAAGGTGCATATAAGTAATTACATAATTCTAAGCAGTTCAGTTTTGATTCCACCAAAATTACAACCTGAAAATGACTGGCAATGAGAAAGTAAGTATGAAGTAATAGCATTCTCCATTTAATTTACTTATTGGAGAGTCATGTTCAATGATCATAGAAACATATGTGGACCCTCTCAAAACATCTTTATTAACAATAACATTTTTATGTGACCTATAAGTGCATGGATTTTTAAAATCAGGTAAGTCACTACTGAAAAAAACATGCTTTGTCCAAAGTGGTAGTCCTTAAGATGTGCTCATGTTTTAGTGGCATATGACTTTAATATTTCACAAAGAAAATGTATCTATAGGTTGGCTCATGTGTGTTTTTAGCCTAAAATAAGCATAATCAGAGCCTTCTGTCCTGTATTCCATATACCCAGGATTAGAATAAGAAATGAGCTGCTTATTGCTTTTCTTCTTCCTTCTATGCTCCTGGAATAGCTGCCCATGAGTCCAATTTAAAAAACAAGTGGGGATAATGAAGAGCCACCTCTTAATTACACAATCAGTTTACATTTCTTTGGGGAGCTCTTTAGTTCATAGCTGAATTGGAAGGAGCTCATGCAGCCTGAGAGTGTGAGTGTGGTGAGCCCAGCACCACGGGATTTCTCAGATTGAGAAAGATCTCAGACCACTCACTCAAGCGAAGTCTTTTTTAGCTGGAAAATATAGTTAGTAGTGGGATTGTCTCCAAATTACATGTTAAAATCACAAACTTCTTTCCTGGGTTCATAAGTGTACCAGTTAGGACTGTGGTTGGCTGAAGGTAATTTACACAAATAAGTCTGCTGGTTGTCACTTCAGAGATGGATGTTGAGGTCTACCTGAGATCCAGCAACATCCCACACCCCTCCTATCTTCCCTTCCACTCTGCCCTTCCAGCGTGACTTTTATAGTCACGCTCCTAGAAAACCTCTAGCTGTGTCCATCTTCCAGGAAAGAAGAAAGGGAAGAAAAAAGGGCAAAGGGCAAAGGACACATGTTGACTGAGTCTGTCCCATTTTCTTTGGGAGACAATCACCTTCCTGGATACCTCCCCCAACAGTTTTCTCTTATATCTAGTTTATTAGAGTTCTGTTCTAAGGGTATCTCTAGGTCGAAAGGTGCTGGGTAATAAAACATATTTCATATGAACATATTATCACTTCCCTGAAAAAAACACAAGTGCTCTCCTAACATTAACAGGCAAGAAGAATATCACCCAGGCAGAATATCATATCTGATATAATTAGTGTCCATTCATGGTTCAGTTTCCCAATTGAGAACCATCATTGCAGTGTTTTAAGGAAATATGTCTCTGAGCCAATGAATTTCATTGGAAAAAGTCATTGTCTATAGCAGCTCTGCCCAATAGAACTTTCAAAGATGATGAGAATGTTCTAATTCTACATTATTCAACACAGCAGCCATTGGTCACATGTGGCTACAGAGCACTTGAAATGAGTCTAGCACAACCGGGAAACTGAATTTTATTTTATTTTATTTCATTTATTTATTTATTTTAAAACAATTAAAAAAATATATATCTTTATGGATTTCAGAGAGAGGAAAGGAGAGAGAGACAGACAGACAGACAGAAACATCAATGATGAGAGAGTCATTGGGGATGGAGCCTGCAACCCCAGCATGTGCCCTGACAGGGAATCAAACCCCAATCGCCTGGATCCTAGGTTGACTCTCAACCTCTGAGCCACACCTGGTCGGGCTGAATTTTAAATTTTACTTTATAAATTTAAATTGGACAACCCAGGTCCAGAGCAATCCTGATGAATATTTTGGTGTGGGGGAAGAAATAGGACTAGGAACAAAAATCACTGATGAAGAGTAAGTATCTGGGACAGGATGAATGGCACTGGAAATGGAGATGGAATAGAAAACTACTCACCTGTGTGAAGACTCCAGAAGTCAGGTGAAGGCCAGTTTAGTCTACTTGAAATGGTTCATTAGGCTGGCTCTTCATACATGTTTGTTTTATAATGATCTATTATTGTAAACTTATAAGAAGATAACTTATCACTGGATTCTACCACCAAACAGAGACAGTGTTCTCACTGGTTCTGCAGTAGTTCTGCAACCCCTAGATCTACCCAGAGGCTAGGTGGCAACAGAGTAGGGTTTGCCCAGCAAAAGCTGACTAAAACTGCTGGTTTGGTCTTACTTTTTAACTCCAATTTTCAGGATCATTCCACTTAGTAGGTTCTTAATGGCCTCCTTTGTCATTTTATGAGACAACACAATCATCTTATTTTTCTCCTTCTGTCCTGAATGTTGATACTTGCCTGGCTTCTCCTCTTCTACCTTAGCCCTAAATATTGGAGTTTCTCCCTAGGTGGGCTCTTTCTTTTCCAAAGCTTTAAATGCCATCTACTTTCAGAAACTGCAGCATGTACATGCCTAGCCCTACCCTGTCCTCAATACCAGGCTGTGTCAGTCTCTTCCTTAACTTTCCATGTGGTTGTCAGAGGAGTATGTCATGTAAAAGGTAAAGGGAAACTAAACAAAACATAAATAAAATGACAGAATAGAACCACTGACGATACCAACTACTGATGAAGACGGAGAGCAACTGGACTTCCATACTTTCATAGTGGGTGTAATTTGTTACTTCCACTTTCGGAAACTCTTTGGTAGTATCTCCTAAAGATGGACTTACACATACTCTAAGACACCAAAATTCTACTCTTAGGTAAATGCCCAATAAAAAATTCCTACAGAAAAGGAAACAAAGAATATTATCTCAATCACATGAGGCTCAGAACAGAGCTGATTTGCTGCTCTCAACCTCTGCCTCCTACAGCTTCCATAGCTAATAAATAGCATCGTTATTCAAAATATTTTCTATCCACCTGCCACATCCAGTTCAACAGTAAGTCTCATTGGCAGCACCACCAAAGTAAATCTCATCCACTTGTCTCCATCTGCTCTGCCATCATCCTATTTTAAGCCTCTATCACCTTTTACTTGCACTATTGCAATACTCTCTCACTTTCTCCATCCTGGCTGCTTCCCAGCACTCCTTAATTCCTCACACTTAGCTGTCAAAATAAATGTACAAATTGTAAATTATATCAGGTTGCTCTTAGTTACCACTCTTCTGTGATTTCCTATTTCTATTAGAATAAAATGTAAACTCCTTACCAAGAATAAACAGTTGTTATGTTCTCATTCCTGAATATTTCTCCAACTTTATTATGTATTCCATTTTTCTTATTATTCTTCAAACACATTGGCCCTTTTTCACTGCCTGCGACATGCCAAGCTCTTTCTTATTCTAAGAACTCTCATTAGCTTTCTAGAATATGCCTCTAGAGCTGCTTCTCATCCCTTGGGTGTCACGGAGCCCTTCGCTGCCAACTCCAGTCAACAGTGTTCTAACTGTTGAACCCACTCGCACGCTCTTTAATTCTCCTGTACCTCCAGTGTGTTTGTTCACTTGTTGCTACTTGTTTTCTCCCCTAGTGCACTGACAGCTCCATAAGGGATAGGTCTAGTAGGATGCCTGGTGCCCAATAAATAGCTCTTGAATGTATGACTAAAATTATGAGAGTTTATAAAGAAGATACTGTTGAAAGCATTTAAATATTTTTTTAACTAAATGGGAGCTATGTAAATGGCAAATCAAAACATGTAAATACTAATGCATTTTGACTACTGTCTTGGCTAGCTGCCAATCTAATGTAGAAATATGTGATAAATGAACTGATACATAAAAAGTCACCTATCCTTGCACTGAGTTATTCTCAATGACATTCTAAGTCAAAGGCAGAATGCCTTTCTCTGCAATAGATATTTAATGATTCTAATGATGCCAAATTGATTATAATTCTTACTAACCCAAGTCAGTAAGAAACTGACATTTGAAAAGTCCATAGCTCAATGGGTTTAGTACTAGAAGCTCTCTATTGCTTTCTTACCTACTTTATACTCCAGATTATCTGCCCCCAAAGATGGACAAATTTTTTTAACTTCTTAATTAGACCTTACTTTAAGTGGACTTTTGTCTTATTGGAAAATTCAAGGTATAGTCAATTTAATAGCTATTGATTGAATGTGTAGCTATTAGAAGACACCAATTCTCTAACTTCACTCTACTCTATAGAACATAAAAATAAAATAGTCATCCAAGAACTGTCCATTGGCCTTGCAGGATAGTTCTTTAACCAGATGACCTGTAAACATGTCCTGGATTCAGTTTACAGTTGTCAGTTGTGATTTATTTTTCAAAAATGAGGAGATATTGTTAAAAAAAAAAATTACCTCAGTCTACAATTGTCTTTTGAGGACCCACTATGACTAAGGCAGTGTGCTTAGCACTCGGAAGGCTACAGTGATGGGTCAGAAGTCATTCCTATCTCAAGGAATCCAGTCAAGGAACGAGTCTATCTGACAAGTAACTGCATACCACAAGACGGAGACAAGAAGTTTCACCACAGAGGTGAAAAGTAAGGTAGTGCAGAAATTCAGAGGAGAGGAAGAATATCCCTGGGGGGTGTGAAAAAACAGCTGTTGCTTGTGCTGTTGGGCTAGATCTGGCTATAAGGCAACACACATTTGAGGAAAAGGGTAAAGCATCGATAGGAAACAAGAAACATTGTAGGAGGGTGATGTAGCCTAATAGCAACTGGACAGATGTATATGCCAGTGGATAACTGCCACAAATACACTATTGTCTGTATTACTGAAAGATAAACATCCCCCAAATCGGGAGCCAATGGCAGAAGCCAAAGGAAGAGAAAGTCTGAGAAATGAATCGAAGCCTCATGCTGTTTTCAACTTCCAGACAATAATAGAGAGAGACAGGGTTACTTACATGTATAGCTGCTCTTATTAATAAGTAGCAAGGTGCCCAGACAAAGCAAGATAATCCCAGAGCCCATTCTTACAGAAATTAACCTTTTGTTTTTATTTGTAAACAGCAGGATTGCTATCAATTAAAGCTGCATCAACGGTCCACAACTAGCCTTGCCCATCGGTCTGGGTGTCCTGGCACCGAGACTCCATGCTGATAAAATGCAAATGATGCATTTTGTATCATGATGGTAAAATTCCATGTTAAATTGTTTCAAGGTTTTTTTCTCTCTTGAGTCCATTTCCTTTGCTTCACTCAGATGTACTATGTGAAGCTAGAGCTTTGTTGTGAAGTTCTCTGAAGCAGTGACAGGCCCGATTTGACTATGCATAGAGGGAAAGTGTGTTTGCTGCGAGGAAATGAGAGCCTATGGTTCACATCTTTCTTCCTTAAACACCGCGAGTCAGCCGGATGCGAGCCACCTCCTCTCACGCTGCCCTGTGATTGCTTCGCAGGCCACGGCACGTGTTCCTGCGGTCGCTGCGTCTGCGAGAGAGGATGGTTTGGAAAGCTCTGCCAGCACCCCAGGAAGTGCAACATGACGGAGGAGCTGAGCAAGAGTCTGTGTGAGTCAGCAGATGGCATATTGTGCTCAGGAAAGGGTGAGTATCCCTGCCGGAGCTTGGACTGGGTCCCCACCATGACACATGATTTGTACAGCAGCACGTAGCAAACATCTTTTCAGACGGCACTTCACGTGAATGAAAATCACTCTGTCCTCTGCTTGTGCCAGACATTAAGCGTGAAAGTTAACCACGTGAAGTCTAGTATCCAAGAAAACGAGATGCGTGAGGTGGGTTGCAAGTGAAAAGATCCTCAGCCACTTGTGCACAGCCTCATTATGAATGAATAATTGTGTAAAGAACAAAGTACAATAAGATATGCTGGGTACTGAATGCCACCCTCCCCCCCAAAGGCAAAAGTATAATTGTTGAGTTCACCTGTGAAATAGAGCCCAGAACTGCATGAGACACTCCGGACGCTCATGGGGTTCTCGCTGAATGTTAGGGAGCTGCCCTGCCTGGAACTGGATGTCATTTCCCAGCCCTCCTCTTCTGCTCAGTCACCTCCTTGCAAAACAAACAACCCCCCCTTTTCAGACTTTTATAGCAGGAGCTGCATTTACCCTCCAGCGCCTACCCTGGGTCAGGTGTAGCAAGTAAGTATCTTTCTGAAGACGACCAGGGGAGCAAAGCCACTCTGCTGAGGCGTCTCAGGAGCAGAATGCGCCCCGGGGACGCGCCCGTCACAGTGGCTGCGGCTTTACCTGCCGCTCAAGGTCAATGCTGTTGGCAGGAAAGGGGCATCCTGACGTGACTGCAAAGATGAAATCAGATGGATGCTGTGGCCACATGGTGTCAGGAGGAAGGATGAAAGTTGATACAAACGTGCTCATTTCAATAGACAACCATGCCTTGTTTTTCCAGGAATTCTGTATTTGAGACTGGTGTGTGCAGTGCCCTGGCAAGGAGGCCGTGCCTCTCGCCTAATGCAATTACAGCAGCCAGGCTGCACTTAGAAGAATTTAAAGCAATCACTTTGTTCCCGTTCGTTCTATTAAATTCAATCAAATTTCAAGCCCCAAACAAATATTGCTCCATTTTCAGTTCTCAGGGGCCCTCAGGTCCTGAAAAACACTTGCTTCAGGTTCACAAAGTTCCGTTGGGCCCTGGCTACTGTGGCTCAGTTGGCTGGGCATTGCCCATGCACTGAAAGGTGGCCAGTTTGATTCCCAGTCAGGCCACATGCCCCAGTTGCTGGCTCAGTTCCCAGTAGGGGCGCGCCGGCAGCATTGGTGTTTTGCTCTTACATTGAAGTTTCTTCTCTCTCCCTCTCCCTTCTTCTCTCTCTAAAAATACTTCAAAAAAAAAAAAAAAAGTATTGTAGGGAGGAGGAAGGAGAGGTTACAAGGAAGAGACAGGGAAGGAATTGCAGAGGAAGAGATTAACAGAGAACAGGAAAGGGGGTAGGAACAGAATTAACCTTCACAGGGGAAGCAGGAGGGAAAAAAGAAATGTTGTCAGACCATAAGGGAGTGTCCTATGTATAAAAAAGCACTGAGAATGATTAATTTGCCTGAATTAGATTTTTTTTTTTTTCCTGAGTATAGCACCAAACACATAGTCCTAAAGTTTAGATACTTTAGTTGCTTTTCATGATGACATTATCCTTGGATTAAGGATATTAACTTTTCACAGAAACTCTACTGAATGAGGAAACTCTTATAACATGAGTGTGCTTGTTTATATTTGTTTATTTTTAAAATCAGCCATTTCATGTGTGTGTGTATTTACTAGACACATTATAAAGTCATTACTATTGTTCATAAGCAGGGCTCTGCTAAGTCATGCCCAGTGGCAGGTACAGAAGGAAAACCCAAAGCCAAGCTCACCTGTGTAGTGAATATCAGCCTGTCATTTCCTAAACTGAAGTTCCTGCAGAAAGAGGACTGGTTTGTTTTCAAGAAATAAACATTCTTATTAAAGTCATAACAGTCTGAGGAGAAAGCCTCATTTTTCAGTATCATAAATGTAGAAAATGCCACACACACAAAAATGGGTGAACCCAAAGGCATTTCCTCAAAACAAAACAAGAAAATCTCTCTAGCTAATGCCTTTTTCAAATTGTTTGCTTTAGGTGGTGGAACTCTATCTACAGATCAGTGAAGGTTTGAAAGCATATATTCCAAGCTATTTGTTTATCCTTCAGTGTGTAGAGTTTTTAATCTTGAATCTCAAAAAGGAATGAACATAAACGCTGCCCCGGGGCTGCATGTTTTGAGGCCGGCTAGTGAGGGTGGAGGCAGCTGGCTGTAGGCTCCTTCCTTCCTCTTTGCCGAGGCATCAGTGGTGGGTGAGGAAGGACGGGCCTGGGGGCTGTGCTCTTCCAAAGGCACAGAGAATAGTGGGGCTGCAGCCGTTATTTCTGTCTCCATAGAGGGTCCAACTCCACCCCTCACCTCAAGAACCACAAAAAGTTTAACTTATGAAATAGACTACGGGTTTTTGTTATGGTAACAGAGAAGAGAAACCTATTCCAGGTTATTCGACTGGGGCCAGATATCTCTTGATAGATTTCATAGACTTGCCAGAATTCCATATACTTTTCCTCAAAACTGTAAATGAAAACCCCTCACCCTGATTATTACAAAAGAAACTGGAGTGTTTTTCTTTCTCCAACTAGGGGACAGGTAGGAGCAGTGGGCCTGAGGTCACGGTGGCGCACACCACTTAGTAGCCAGGACCCAACTGTTTCTACCAGAAAGAAAAACCTGAAACATGTGCTCCCTGTGAGCTGCGAATAAAGCTGTCACCTCAGGAGACGATGAAGAAATAGCGTTTTATTTCTTTACAAATTTATAGCCAAGACAATAAATCACTCCATAGAAAAATTTAAAACAAGATACATTGTTGTGACCTTCATAACAGATGGAGTCATGAGTACAGTAGTGAAAACTGCCTGCTGGGATGTCAGGTTGCAGCATTTTGTCAGGCTTGATGAGTTTAAAAGAAAGTCCATTTTGTTAATGGGGCCACTAACAAAGGTGCTCGCCCTCGCACCCAAACTGTTTACATCAATAACCAGAGAGAGGGGCTTAGAGCCAGGTCTCCCCTAAGTTTAGCTACCTTTGTGGAATACATGATATAATTCATCAGCAGTTTGTTTGTTTGTTTGGGTATTTATTTGTATCCAAGAGTACATAATAACCTTTTTACCTTGAGAACTTCAACCTAGGTCCAGGTCATCACCTCTAATGTTCTTAAAGGTGTTGGCTGACGATGGCTGTAATTGCATGTCATTAAAGGTCTCCTTAGAACCCTCACAACTACACTGTTGAGTCCCTTGTCATCCGAATAATTCCATGGTACACCCACCTACCTGTCCCTCACTACACCCTACCCTGGCCAGTTCTCCATTCCTGAAAAGAGACAGGGTAAAAGTTAGGATTCAAAAACCAGACTCAGACTAGTGTTTTAGTTGCATTACCCAATACGGCTGTCAGTGGGAACACACAACTCCTTTTTGAAACTATATGGTTTTTTCTTGTGGGAGACATTACAGATAGACAGATAGGTAGATGAAATAGTAGACTGAATCATATTGAACTCTTAACTGAACTGTTGTTTATTGCCCCTGTGGCTCTGGGCAATTCTCTTATCCTTCCTGTACATCCATTTTCTCATCTTTGAAGGCAGAAGAATTTCATTTCTTCCCCTTTTTAATCCTAAGGATGCTCTGAAGACAAATGAGAAAATGTGACTGATTCCCCAGGAATAGAAGCCAGTAAAAAGCACAGAAGGGAGATCAGGGCATTCTTAAGGGTCCTCACACTGAGAAAAAAATAAATGGATTAGTGGTGTCGTGGTCATGAATTTACCACCATAGACTTCCTGCCGAGATGGGCCAGCTGCTCCCTATGGCTGGACTGGGTCTCATAAGCTGAATACTCAGTCACCTCTTGGCAGTCATGTGGTTTATATCTGTCTGACAGAGCCCTCTCCCTAAGATTTTCCCTTTCCAGAGATGAGCAATTTGGCGCCCGGTTATTGATGAAGCAGCCAGAGCATTCAATAACAAAGGTGCTATGAGACATCCTAATAACAATCACATTGTTGTTATTACATGCTATGCTACCCCTAGTTTCACAAGCAGTAGAAGAATTTCCTACCTCTAAGATGCACTGAGAACTGACAAACAGGAAAGAACAACACAGCTGGGGAAAATGCTGACCGAGAAAAGCTAGCTTTTCATAGCACATACAAAAATCATTCCCATTTTTCATTCTAAGTATTTCAGTGACTAGTAGACTTCTGGAACTAGAATTTACTTGTCAAATGGTCTCCCAGTGTATACCATGTTGACATTAGCTGAGCTGACCAGTTTTAGGAAAATACTATGGCCTGAAGCTAAGCATTCCGGAAGCAAGACCAGTGATCAGAATAATTCTAAAGCTAGGGGACAAATTTAATGATGAAATGTGATTTTTTTTCATGAATTGTGGCAAAAATATATATATATCCAAGATTTAACACATAAATGTCATGGACATATAAAGTAATTTACTTCTGCTTCTGTTGTAGAAATAGTTTTGGAATATAAGGGAGATACTATTTTAGAAATAATTAAACAATTGTATTCTTCCAATAATCTTCCTCCACTCATAGAAATAAGCACTAAGTATGATACCTTCTGAGGGTATGTTAATGAAGTCATTAAAATGCCCCAAGTTTTCTTGGTTTTCCAAAATTGCTCTAACCATTTGCAAAATGCACAGTTGAATGTTGAACATTTCTATGCCTAGAAATTGGACAGAAAGTCTTTAAAATTAGGATAAATAAATTTCTAAATAAAGAAACACTGTACCAGGATGAGACTACCAACTCTCACAGACTGGCCTGGGAGGCCCAGTTATGGGTCCTAAGCAACCACCAGGGTGCTGGTCATTCATTGGAACGGAAAGTTGTCTATTTTGCTCAAGAGCATGCAAATCAACCTAGACCCTCGGTAAAACGAGTAAATGAAATCATGCTGCCGTTAAGTAAGGAGTTAATAAATGTAAACACAGTTCTCAGCATGTAACTAATTCTGACTGTTCCCTTACCCTGAGAAGTGTGACAAGGAATATCAAAAGTTTAATTTGTCAATTGGGGATTCTTGTAGCTAAAATGCATATACTAGTTTCCATAATATGAAATAGCATGACATGCTTGATGCCTGGGACTCATTTATGTGCATCCTTTCATGATAGCAGCAATACATAAAAATTTCTTTGTCTAACCATTTTGATCACCCAGGTTGTTAACCCATTGTTTAGTCATAATGTTTCATAGAGGCACTAATGAGTGATCCCTGCCTCCTCCCAATATATTTGCATTTACCAAGTCTGGAATTTTGTTGAATGTGTCAAAATACTTTTTCTACTTCACATTCTCTTAAGGTGGCAGGCATCCTTAGTAAAAGGAAATTGCATTTAGAAAGAGCAATCAATCCAAGGAAACAGGAGGAAGAGGAGGGCCTTTCTATGTGTATTTATTTTTAATTTGAAAGTTTTCTTTACTACTGTTGTAGAAGTAATTTTGCCATGTGAGGCTTTTTAGCCAGTCATGTGAAGATATTTTCACTAAGGGAACATTTCTTCCCTCTTTGACACCATTTAATTCATTTTTTTTTTTTTCTAAATGTGTCATTAATAAAACTGTTTCTCAGCAAACCATAATATTTTTAATAATCAAAGAGGAAGTTTTTAATTAGGTAGGAAGGAAAAAGAAAGGAAATGGGTGGATGAGAAAACTGGTTGGATCAAGAGCCTCATAAAAGATGAACATTGGGGGGCAGGGGTTAGAGCCATCCTGGATTATGGCAGGAAATCCTGAGGATGAGATTCGATAAATCAAATATACATGAGTGATTATGTGTGTATTTTTAGCACTTTAATGAGCAACCCAATATGCGGGTGTATCACTTTAAGAAAATCATGTAAAGAAAATTCTGAAATTAGCCCAGCTGGAGTGGTTTAGCGGTTGAGCATCAACCTAGGATCCAGGAGATTGAGGTTCGATTCTTGGTCAGGGCACATGCAGGGGGCGTGCAGGAGGCAGCCGATCAATGACTCATCCTTGATGTTTCTATCTCTCTCTCTCCCTTCCTCTCTCTGAAATCAATAAAGATATATTTAAAAAAAAAAAAAATCCGAAATTATAAGCACAATAAATTTAGAAGTTGTTTTAATTATAAAATGCACCCGCATTTAACAGAACTTACTATTCAATTTCTTTAAAGGACAGACACTTTGAAAACATGATTCAATTTAGAAAATTAAAAAAAAATTACATCTATTTTTGAACACCTTTTTGGAAGGCCATCTATAAAAATCAGCTACTCTCTGCTCTCATTGACATTTCAACCAGACTGAGCCATGGAACATTTGCTTAAGGCTAATTGCGACTGTCTAGATCCACAGTGAAGCCCTTCCTGGATAACCTTTATGAATTACAGCAAGTAAAGCTCCTTTCTGAGCAACTGGCTCTTCCATCAACTTTCACCTTTGGAAGATAGGTTATTAGAAGCTGATTGTCAGTACATTGATGGTATTCTATTCTAGATGGAAACCTTTAGCTCTGTGGTGACAATCAATAATATCCTTTGTGATTTCAGGTTCTTGTCACTGTGGAAAGTGCATTTGTTCTGCTGAAGAATGGTATATTTCGGGAGAATTCTGCGACTGTGATGACAGGGACTGTGACAAACATGATGGTCTTATTTGCACAGGTGCAGTACTAACCTATTCTAATTGATCTATGTCACATTTTGCAGTAAAGGTGAATGACACACATCCCATATTGCTGTAGATCACTGGGCAGGAGAGCTTCCATGTACTCAGGGGCCAAATAATAAGATAAAGTAAGTAAAGGGAGGTGGGCATTTGTGAATAAAAACTATCATTATTCCTAGGCATAAAAGAATATGAAATAACGTACCCAAATTATGTGATTTTGGGGCATATTCCACAAAGTAACTTCCCCCAACTTACACAGTTTTACATATTGCAAAAAAAATAATAATAATTCTCTTGACAACTATTTCACTTTTAGCATGGTGCAGGGAATGGAATATTATCTTAAACAGGACTCAAGTACCAAAGCTGGCTGATGTGTCAGTTGTTTTTAGGGAATGGAATATGTGTGTGTTTAGAGGGATAGGAGTATGAAAATAGATACTGCTATCCTGAGTTACTGAGCCCTAATAATTGGTTATAATATACATGTTCTTAAACGAGTTACAGGGGAAATAGAGACATGTATATATGTTTTCCTTGTTTCTAGCTAAAGGGAAAAGATGAATATTTGTGTGTCATTAAGCTAGACTTCAGCTTCTGTCCATCCCTACTACACAAGACTCCTCTTCTGATTATACTTGGTCCTGTGTCAAGCAGCTGTATGTTCTTCAGCATTTATTCATAAGTTACACACAACCTGCTCTCTGCAGAAAAACAAAATTATGACATGGGAGCCCAGCTGGAGAGATACCAATGGTCACTATTAGATTGATACTAATCAATGGTAGCACCAAGAAGATGCCATTAATTTTTTGAAAATCAGATTTCCTATAGCTGCTTAATAAGATAATAATAATATGGCTGCACAATAAGAAAATTTTCAGAGGATGAATGAAATGACTTTGATTATCAACAATTATGGTTGATAAAAACATAGATTAACTTAGTATATTTAAATCATGATAATGATTCTCGTGTGTGTTTTATTGCAGGGAATGGAATATGTAGCTGTGGAAACTGTGAGTGCTGGGATGGATGGAATGGAAATGCGTGTGAAATCTGGCTTGGCACAGAGTATCCTTAACAATTAGCTGGGAGAGGACTGGATTCATATTTTTCTAGGCCATTAGAACATATAAATGCCGAGGAAGCCATGTATAATCACCATGAGGACAGGTCAAACAGACTGTTGTATGTTTTTCTATTTCTGAAAGCCTGAATGAAATCTGGATAACCATTAAAAATGAGTTAGTCAAACTCTGATGTAAATAACACCAGAAATTCTTCCACAATTTACGTCAGTGGTTCTCAACAAGGGCAACTCTGCCACCCAGAAAACATTGGGCAATGTCTGCAGACTATTTTAGTTGTCACACTGGGTGGGGTGGGAGGGTGTGCTTTAGGCATCTAGTGGGTAGAAGCCAGGGATGCTGCTAAACACCCTACAGGGCACAGGATAGCCCCCTACGATGAAGAATTATCTGACTACAAATGTCATTAGTGCCATAGTTGAGAAACACTGAATTACATGGTTGTTAGAAATGCACATCCCTACACAAGAAAGGTCATTTTAGAATCTAAGGAAAAGACATATCCTCACATAAATCCATGGATCAAACCTGGCTAGGATTCCATATCACTCAGTTTTTCCATATGGGGACAATGAAGACAAACACACATGAAGTGCAATGTTGGATGGTGATGGGGGACTTTTGAGAAAATACTGGTCACTTTTAGTCATTAAGTCATTTGTCTAGTCTCACTTTGAACTCACAAAAGAAGATTATTTTAAGATGAAGGAAGAAATTATGAAAAATGTACAATTTAACATTTTAAATAAATAGTGACATAAGTTGTTTACACTCTGTGTCAATATGTATTTTACCAACTGATGAATAACAAAAAATGAATTGTTATTTAAGAGCATCATTTTCTGTTACTAGATCATTTTTTAAACTGGGCATGGGATATAGGTACAAGGAATCTGAGTTTTCACTAATTAAGTTACTCCATGGTAACTTGCCTTTTAAAAAGACAGTATCTAATTAGCTCTATGCTGGACCTGAAATATGCATTAATTTTTCTTAAAAGACTCTCTTATTTCTCTGGATACATTGCTCACCTGAAAAGTAGGGTCATGCATAGAAGTCAAAAAGAGATACTATGATAAAATGGCCCCAGTCTCACAAGCTCAGAGGATATAAAGAAAAATCTAGAAATGGCTTAAATAGAAATTACAAATATTCACTCAGTGATAGGAACAAAATGTTTATTTTCGTAATGGTGAAATTTTGTTCTGTATGAAATTCACATCGAATTATGAAAATGTACAATAATTTTGGACTTCCCTTAGATATTTGCAATTAAATCTACTTATACACATCAGTTTAGGCAACCTTTAATTATTTAGAGCTAAAAAAGGTCCACTTTTTTTCTAAATGTGAATTATATTTTGTAAAATCCGTCAATAATGCAATAAAATCATTTTCATATTGTTTAAGATGAAAATGTTTACTTGGAAATTTTACTTAATGACATAAATATTCTAAAGTCATGACTTGGACTTTATTAGTCAAATCACCAAAAGTGAGAAAAAGATGTACCTGCTGAGTTATTTAAAATTTATATTGAAAATGATTTAAGAGAAAATTTAATCGATGCTGATTTTTATAATACTAATAGTGTTCTCCTACTTTAACAGATTTACAAAATTGTTACCTCTATCCTGAGATTAAGAAGTGCAACCATATTAGTTGTGTCTCGATTGTTGAGTGTGTCCATTGAGATATCAGTTTTGTAAAATGAGGGAAATGTAAGCAGTTAAGAAAGAATATATATTACTTCCTTATATCTTCTTTATCTAAGCATTTTAAGCCTCAAACAAACCTATTTTAATTGTTCAGTAGCAATTTCAATGATGACCGATTTGATGATGGACACATTGGAATTCACTGCATTATCACGGTACCAGTGACATCCAGATTTCCTATTGCAGAGTTCTGCTTTCTATGGAAAAGACCAGATAGTAAACAGTTTAGACTTTGTAGGCCACATACATCTCTGTTGCATATTCTTCTTTGTTTGTTTGTGTTTGATAGTTTAAAACTGTAAAAAATAAATAAAAACTCGCTCTGAACTCCTGGGCCATAAAAAAATAATTGCGAGCTGGGTTTGGCTCACAGCTGAGGAGTAGGTGGCCAACCTGTGCCCTTAATGTCCTATGTGTCCTCTCATAACTCCAAGTGCGTCTTATTTTTTTTTTGTAATTCTCTATATTTGTTATCCTTTTTCATTAACAACAACTACAATGGAAGTGTTTCTCTTTTTAAAATTTAATATAAGAAAAATGTCTTCAGCACTTATGTTTTTAAAGAAAAATTTTAGATATGGAGAAATGTTTTTTATAAAGTTCAGAATGTGATTTGTCCAGATTTTTTGACAACCTGAAAATATATGGCAGTCAGCTATATTTTGGGTTCATTTAGCTCGAAATTATTGAACTGAAACCTTTCATGTTTCTCATGTGTGTGTATGTGTGATTTTGACTCTAGCTTGCAAACAATAGATCTATTAAGAAGTGATTTAATTTACATGTTTAAATTGGAAAAAAAAATAAACATAGTTACATATAAAGACATACATTCTACCTTTCTTAAATGTGATTTTGTACTTTGACTTTTGATTCTGTTACTAAGATAGAAACTCCCTCTTAAAAAAGGGGCAGGCAAAAACAAACTTGTTACAGGAGGAGGGGAAAGGTGCAAATCTCATTGGCTTGTTCAAGTTTGTCCCAAATTACAGTGGGATTTATGTCAATTTAGAAGGATTCAACAACTGATATTGGCACAGACCCTGCCTGTTTGGCAAACCATCATGGAGGAATCTCCCAGAAGGGCTTTTCAATAAAATTCTATTAAGGTCCTAAGACCGAAGAGGAGACTCATTATAGCCCATTTCTTCCCCAGACTCCTTGAGCTAATCTAGATTCTTTCAACATGTTGGGAGGAATGACCTCATCACCTCAAATACAAATGCCATCTCTACCAGCAGACATCAGGATTAGACTGAATAGTATAGAAAAAAACAGAAAAAATCAAAACGAAACAGCTCAGCCTTTGTTTGCAGACTCAAAACTTCAAAACCCCATTCAGTATTCAAGTGTCAACAGGCCCTTGGACTAACTTGTAAGCCAAGGAACTTAAGCTATGAATGTATTTTCTCCAACGTAACACAATTTGCATCTGGATTTTTATATGCTTGTATTTAGCTCAATTGCTTTTCCCTAGATATGGTCTTGTTCTGAAATGAAATTTCTAAATATTTTCACTTCCTTCTAAAATAGATTTTTTAATCAATCTGGTCTCTCTTTGAAATGTTAATTCTCCCTATAATATTAGGGAGAAAACTAAATGAAGTGATGCATATATAACATAAAGGACAAGAAGTTTTTTTTGTTATGTTTGTTTTTTAAAGAGAATCTAATCTGATATCGATCACCCTGAAAACATCTGACCACTTTAGTGCTTTAGGCATTAATTAAGCAACTAGCCAGGTGTGATAAGGAAACTGTGCTTACACTCCAAGAGGCAAACAATTAGAAGGACTCGTATGGGCCCATTGTGGGGTTCCTGAAACGACCAGCTACCCCAAAACACTCAGGGCAAGCAAACTTTAGAGCAAGAATTTCAAAATTCTCCAAGATTTATAAGGAAGTGATGCCTAGTACCAATTTACTCTTTACAGAGGGTGGACCATTTGCATCTATTCTATAATTTTTCCAAGTAAAGTTTTAGCAAAACATATTAGAAAGTAAACTTATAAGAAAATAAAAATGGTGTCACTTTAAATATCAAAACCATTAACATTCCCAAGCATTGCTGAGGGATGGGTGAAGCAATCAGCTATCACAACAAATCAGTAGAAATAACCCTCCCACACCAGCTATGCATGCAAATGGAATGTGATAGTAGACTCAATACAATTGACATATGTACATGTAGGTACAAAACACTCAGTCTGTAAATACCAATTAATTCCATCAGATTTACTGTACAGAACATCAATGGTGACAGATTGCACTTACTTAATAACATCAAACTTGATTTTTGAGGGGGGGAAAAAAGAGGAGGGTCTTATCCTGGAAAAAATAGCAATAGAGGTATCATCAAAGAGCTAAAATTTTCTTTGGCACGGTAAAGGGGGAAATCGAGTTTACCACCTTATTTACATGACATGTCTATATTTGCGAGTGATACAATGCCATTTCATTACATAAAGTTGTTTGATGTTTTATAATATGCCTTCGTATAAATATTTTATTCAATGTTTTGTACTTGTGAATATAACAAATGATATTAAACACAGAAACTGTACAATGCAGACACACTCTTTGTGAGTAAATTGAACAATACACACCAACAGTTCTTGATACCCAGGCCCTACTACATGCAGTCCATCAGTGCTGCCCTCGTCCCGTGCAACAGACAAGACCAGACACACAGGAAGTGACCAGACTAAGTTACAAATAACAAAGACCCCTCTGCAATATGTCTAAACATATATTAGATGAAAGTAGTTTGACATCCACTCATTGGGATAAATGCCCTCATAGACAACTCATATGAAAAAAAACAGGTGCACATTTACATAAATCTCAGTCATTTAGAAAAATAAATCTTGTCTTAATTTTAACCAATAAACAGGTTTGCAGGGGAAAAAGAGGTTCTGATTACCAAAAGCAAATTGGTGGGGTTGTTTGATGTGTGTGTGTGTGTTGGGTGGGGTGGGGTCAGCAATGTCTATAAACCCATCTAATTGGAATTTCAAGATAAATTACTCATAGTTTGTCACATGTTATGGATTCTATGTCTTCCCTAAATAATTTGTGAATGAAATTCATCTAATGTACTTTAACTTATCCTGTGAAAAACAATAGGCTTTGAAATGGTGTAACAAGAAATCAAGAATGGTCCAAGGAACCATTTTGTTGTATTTGTACTTTAGCATCAACAATAAATCTACTCAAACATTATGCTAACTTTTTTATTCATTAAAATGTAATCCAATATGGAAATGAAATAAGCATAAACAGTTAAATTTATACTAAATCTTTAATAAGCTAAGCAGGCCAATATTTTAAAATGCTGGGCAAGGGCTGTCATAGAGACTTAGAAAAGCAGTGACAAAATAATTTCTCAGTAAATACAGTGCAAATGGGGGCAAATGGCAACTGGATCATAGTTCCACATGGAAATAATAACAGAGGCCAGGATAATGATCCCACGTATAGTTTTCTATAAATGAGGTTCAGTTTGGTCTCAATTAACTCTTCTGAGAACAAAACAATGAATTTTATTAAGTATACATAGAGTTAACAAATACATTTCCAAACAGTTTAGTGTTAAACATTTTGAAACTCTTTATATCCAATATTGAGCATTTTGCATGGTTTCTTCACTGTGTAGTCAACTATTCATGGCCTTTCTTGGTAGTTGTCCTCCCTAAGCTCAGAGTTATTTAAAAGGAAATTAAGAAAGCAAATAAAACAAAAGCAAATAGGTTGAATGGACCAAAAACCTGGTGGTTGGACGTGTTGGTTTGCCTTTAATTTTATCTAGAATTATTCAATAGACTGAATTCTGAGCTCATGGCAAGGCACCTCTACCCCAGCCCTTGGGCAACCTGGGCACCAAGAAGCTGAGCTAGAGGTATGGACTGGTGAAATACACAGTACCTGACTCAGCATGCTGAGCTAAAAAAAATAGTTTTTCCTAATGTGTCCAGTTTAAAAACTTGTCATTAAACACCAAAAAATATTAAAGTCTAATTTAGAACTAAGGTTTGCATTGCTGCTGCAGAAAAGAACACAACAGCCGCCTTGCCCATGCTCTGCTGAGTATGAGTGGAACGCAGCCAAAACCCGGGATGGCATTAAGTTCGGTTCATTAAAAATAGGAAGGATTATATCTGAAATGGATTTAGGTAGCGCAACTCTTGTAGGTTGTAATTATTGATTTTTTTTTTCTTTTTTCCAAATAATGAAGATTAGTAGATGAAAAATGAACCTTAATCAGGCCTACAAGGCCTACAGAGTTCTTTGGACCCACTTTTTCAAAAACCAGTGGGTCTTGCTCGCTGGGCAAGGCAAATGTTACCATTACCAGTAAGCTTGTGATATGTATAAAACACACACACACACAAAGAAACTATAGGGGGACGTCAAACACATATCATAGAGAACTTCCCATGGACTGTGTTTGACCCATTTCTCACTTGGGCAATGCCCGACCTCAGGAGCACAGTACCTGCCACTGAACAGAGCGTATATGTGTGTTTAATTGATAGTGTGAGCCAGAGACAACACTCTTAATCTTTATGATGCAATTTGTAATAATAGGTTTAGAAGGCTTCCTGATTCCCTGATCGCTCTCTGAACTACGCCAACTGCAACACTTAAGATTTAGAGGAACACGATCCCTGCAAAAGGTCACAGACAGTGGAGCGAGCAGCCCTGTAAAAACGGGAAGAAGAGAAATCCATAATAGCACAGGTTTACAGCTTCTAACTAGAAATTACTCAATAGTATTCGTGTGCTACAAAATCGAACTGAAACACATGGATTTTGCTGAAACAGGACTCAAAAAGGATTATGGGTAGCTGTCAGCAGGCAAGGTATCGAGTGTACTTGTGAAGTATGTCATTCACATGAAGTGTCACAGTCACAGAAAAGATATTAAAAAGGCATTCCATATCTGGTAGGGCATTCCATGGTCTGAGTTGAGCTGGTTATCCAGGTGTCTTCTCGTTGCGGGGGGTGCAACAGGTTGAGATTTATCCACTTGCAACCAAGAAGTTTGAGGGAGCAAAGAGCAAGCATCCGCTCACGTCCAGCCGCCCCTCGGCCGCGGGAGCAGGAATGTCTGGCAAGGATAAATCGCTCCACTGTGCTGGGGACCAGTAAGTCACAACACCCGCGAGCATCTGGCTATGTGGTCTTACTTTTGTTGACTGGTTTGCCTCCATTCATTATTGCAGACGCGCTTGTGCTTTTACTGGGCGTCACCCCAGCCTTCGGGACCGTTTCTCCAACGTCGTGCAAAGATGGTTCTCGGTACATGGCAACTGGTGACAGGGGGAGGGCACGAGGAGAGGAGGGAAAGGAAGTGTTACACAGTTGGGTTCAAGAATCAGAGCACGCCCAGGCCCGCGGCTGCCAGTCCTGCTTCCCTGGAGGAAAGCAATCCCCTTGAGGGGGATTCCTGCTTGAAGCAGCAACATCCCCCCCAAACAGAAGACATGATTCCCTTCCCATTCTCTGGCTTGGGAAACTAAAATACGGACATGGGCGTGCATGGATGTTTGTCGAGGAGAGAAGGCTTATGTGTAAGTCATGGCCTCTTTGAGGGCCTAGCATATCAAATACACACACACACAAGGGTAAGCTTAAACTCATTCTCTGCACAGCAAGGGAAACTCAGACTTCCCTGGCACTGCCAACACTTGAGCCACTCGTCCCTATTTATCTTGTCAAGTATTTACACCGTAGGTCATTAAATTATTCTTTTCTCAAGTGGTTCAAAAGCAACACAGTCACACGAGTGTCATCTTCAAAGCTATACAAGGTAATAACAAGGAACTCGCTTTCCCTAAGCCAGGGCCTCCGGGTGATCATTATTTAGATTTCCTCTCCTGAGAATGTGAAAAGAGACCCTTAAATAACTAAAGGCAACTGTGTGGCATTTTCTATTTTTATGCCTCATTTTCTGATATATTATTAAATGTCTAATAATTGATGGCATATAAGGCCAGAAGCACAGAATGGCAAGAGGGCAAGTGGGACTGACGTGGTAAACTCTGGGAAATTGCCTGAAGAGTGTCTGGCCACACAACTAATCACAGGAGTTCATATGGCTTTTTAGAAAATGATTCTCTGGAATCCCGGGGAAAAACATTTAAGAGTGACTGATGCTTGAGGAAAAGTAGGTGAGTTTAAATCATCTGCCATAGAAACAGCATATTAGACCGCCCAACCTGTGTTTTAGGCTTTTGAAAGTTTATGATACAGCAGGTCCTAGAATAATGTTCTTTGGTTCAAGTTCATTTCATTACATGGTGACAAAAAAAAAAATTGATTCCAAGCTGAGGCCACTGTCTGTGTGGAGTGTGCATGTTCTCCATGTCTATGTGGGTTTCTCCGGGTACTTCGGTTCCCTCCTGCATCCCAAAGATGTGCACATTAGGTGAACTGGCGTGTCCACATTGTCCTAGTCTGGGGGGGGGGTGCACCCAATGATGGAAGGGGTGGGTCCCACCTTGGGCCCTGGGCTGCAGAGATTGGCTCTGCCACCCTTGACCCTGACCTGGAATAAGCATGTTGAAAAAGAATTCTCTTACTTATTTTTATTCATCTTTCTTAAATGTATGTATAGCTCACATTTATTTCATTGTTTAATCTTAAAAGTGTAATGGGTCTTTATTTAGAAGTTCAGTGATATTTTTGTGACCAGAAATATGCACTTAATTCTTGTTTATACTGATTAGCTTAAATCTGGTTTCATTAAATGTTGTTTTGCTGAAAGTTGCAATTTCCAAGAACCTATAGATAATGTTAAGTGTGGCCTTACCGTACTTTATGAAGAGACCTTATATTTGGTTAGGATGAACTACCATGTATATTCTTCTCCATGTTCAAGGGGGTAGAATTTTACCTTTTGCATCAATGAATCATGGGATTTTTCAGCAGCACACATATTTGACAATGTGTGTACATCAGACCTGTATGAAATGACTTGGCAAGGTGGGAAGAGGGGTTAACCCATATCCTGGAAGCACTGTCCAATCTCTTGCTCTCACTACCAATTTGATGAGGAGATAACAGCATCAGAGCATGAACCTTGATTGTCTAGTAGGAAGTTGTGCAAGAGCTAGGAAGGTCCCAGAGCATCAATGATTAATTAAGTAGCTAATTTGTCCTAACATTTCCAATGATATAATTTATATCCTGTATGGGTCTTGAGGGCTTGAAATTAATTTCCTCTATCAATTGCACATTGTGATAACCTCT